GGTCGTCGACTGCGTTGCAGGAAGATCTCCATTCTCATTGCTCCTACGCCGACACCCAGAATCATGATGATCGATGAGGAACCCGATTGGCGAACACCTTTGTTCGCGTATTTCAGAGGGGAACGAACCGGTACAACTAGAGAGCAACATCGCTTAGCATATAAAGCCAGACACTTCTACGTGCGACATGGGATATTATATAAAAGAAACTTCACCACGGTGGATGCGAGATGCTTAGGAAAACAAGAGGTGAAACATGTCCTGGACGAAGTACACCGAGGAGGTTGTGGAGAACATGGAGGAGCTCGGGCCCTCATACAGAAATTACATCGGGCTGGATACTATTGGCCCGGCATGAAGAGGGACACCCATCAATATGTGCAACGTTGCATAAAATGTCAGAAGTTCGCCCCACTTATCCATAAACCGGGAGAAGAAATGACCATCATGAGCGCCCCCTGCCCCTTTGCCCAATGGGGAATTGATCTAGTGGGACCTTTTCCTCAAACCACTGGCAGGAAGAAATTCCTTATCGTCGCGGTGGATTATTTCACCAAGTGGGTTGAAGCTGAGGCCTTGTAAAAATAACAGAGGACGAGGTCATGCATTTCATTTGGAAATATATTTGTTGCCGGTTTGGCCTACCCCGAAGTCTCGTCTCGGATAATGGCACTCAATTCAATGGCAAAAAGATTCGCGCGTGGTGTGAAGAGATGAAAATCACACAGAAGTTCGTGGCAGTAGCACACCCTCAAGCCAATGGCCAGGTCGAATCTACAAATCGAACCATTGTCAACGGCTTAAAAAAGAGGATAGACGAACTAGGAGGCAGCTGGGTAGATGAGTTACCTTCGGTCCTTTGGTCTTACCGAACCTCGGCCAAAGCAGCTACCGGTGAAACACCATTTCGGTTAACCTACAGAACCGAAGCAGTTATTCCAGTAGAAGTGGCAATGGATACACTCCGCATAGCCACGTTCGATGAAGGAGCAAATGACGGTGCATTGAGAACCCGGCTGAACGAGATTTTTGACTTGCGAGAAGCAGCCTATTTACACATGGAACGAAGCAAGAATTTGATCAAGGCCCGATATGACCAAGGGGTCCGATCTCGCTCATTCCAGATTGGTGATCTCGTTCTACGGCGAGCTGATGCCCTAAAGCCCACAGGAAAACTGGAAGTTAATTGGGAAGGACCATACGTGGTCACAAAGTGCTTGGCTGGTGGAGGATACGAGTTGGCAGATGTAGAAGGAAAACCATTGCCACGGCCATGGAATGTCATCCATTTGAAACGCTTCCTCGCGTAAAAAAAAAAAAAAAAAAAAAAAAAAAAAAAAAAAAAAGAGAAAGAGTGAGAGAGAAGCAGAGAAGCAACACATCTTGTAAAAGAAAAACATCAATAAACGTCCATTTTTCGAGCTGGGCTAGGCCCCGTGGCTTTTTCTCTCCTTATTTGGAGGGTTTCCACGTTAAAAATATCCTTGTGTTATCTATTTAAATTACAAACTGAGGCGTTAAATCGCGTGTTTTACCGAGGCGTTAAATCGCGTGTTTTACCGAGGCGTTAAATCGCGTGTTTCACCGAGGCGTTAAATCGCGTGTTTTACCGAGGCGTTAAATCGCGTGTTTCACCGAGGCGTTAAATCGCGTGTTTTACCGAGGCGTTAAATCGCGTGTTTTACTGAGGCGTTAAATCGCGTGTTTCACCGAGGCGTTAAATCGCGTGTTCCACTGAGGCGTTAAATCGCGTGTTTTACCGAGGCGTTAAATCGCGCGCTTCATCAAGGCGTTACATCGTGTATTTCATTGAGGCGTTAAAACCGCATATTTTATCAAAGGCCTTAAATCGCATGTTTTGCTGAAACATTAAGTCGCATGTTTTGCCAAAGGAAACAATCGCCAAAGGCTAAGTTCAAATACAAGTAAACTATGAAAAAAGCTTGCCGAGATCAGGTTAAGTCCTAAATAGATAAGATCAAAGGACAATCACCCACACGGGTCCTAAAAAGATCCAACCCAAGTTCAGAAAGTACTTTGCTAAAATTCACTAACCATTCCTGAATATACTGCACTAAAGTAAAAGCAGCCCCGGCACACATGAAAAACGAAATTGAAACAAATAAACTTTTTGATACATTGAAACGCAAAAAACGAAATAAGTTGTTCGAAATATATAAAGGAAAAATACAAGTACATGGTACAAGAAATAAGATACAAAAACAGACGAAGATAAAGAGAAACTGGCTAAGCATTCTCGGACGGCACCACCCCGGCTTCGCTTTGATCCCCGGCAGGTGGAAGAGGAGATGAGGTAAGGTCGGGCGGTGTCTTGTTGAGATTCGCCATTGCATCAATGGTCTCGACATCTCCCACAAGATCGGTGATGATCACCGAGGAGAAGTCTTCAACTAACTCTCGATGCACCTGCCTCCACCACTCCAGGTCGGGGTCCTCGTTCACATCCCCTTCAAAACCCGGAATCACGTCATCGGGCAAGTCCTCGGCAAGCTCATTTTCAGCCAAGGGGAACTCAATACCAGCACCACTTAATCGTTTCCGGACAGCCTTCACCGCTTCCGAGAAAAAGAAGCGAGCTAAGCCAGATGCTTGTCGAGTGAACGTCGTCGAACGCCATAGCCGATCGAAAAAACGACTGACGAACGCCTCCATAAAACGCAGACCCTCGGAGGAACCCGGGAACAACCTGTGTCCTTCCTTCACTTCCCTCGGTGAAGTTAGAAGATGCCTGCACCCCGGCCGCAAATAGCTCGTTAGAAAGCCCTTTAGCTTTTTCCTCCAAGCTCGCATTATGAGACGCTAGGGAGTCTTTCTCTGCTTGCAAAATCTTCTCCCTCTCTTGCAGCCTCCTCACCTCGGCGAACAACCCCTCCTTCGCCGACTCGGACACCGCCAGACTCTCCTTTAGACCTCGGAACTCTTTTCGGAGCTGGCTGACCTCCTTTTTTTGATTATCATACGCCTCACGAGAGACGTCATCCCACCCCAAAGGGCCCGAAAAGGCGATAGCGAATTGCTACACATACAGGAGACTTAAGTAAAACCAATTGTGACTAAGAGACATAAAAACTAACTTATGTGTGCGAGATAAAACAAACCTGCGTTATGTTATGTAGAAGCAACTCGAGCCGATCACCCTTGCTCATTTGCCCGAAGTGAGCAACGTCTCGAGGAAGCGCCATAGCTCGGCAAGCAGCAATGGCGTTCTCTGCGTTCTGGCAGAGATGAAGTGCAAAGTTGGGGGGCAGAGATGACCCAACTTGCCCCGAAGCTGACCCGGTCTGCCCAGGAGTTGACCCGATCAACCCAAGGGCTAGATCAGCCTTTCTTCTCTTCGAGGTGGGCTCTTTTTCTACCACTTCTTCGGCTGAGGAGGGTGGCGGAGAAGAAACTGGAACTATGGCCGAGGACCGACGAGGAAGCTCGGGATCCTCAGCACGTGGGCCACTTCGGGGACGCGAAGCCCCAACGTTCTTCTTAGAGGGTCTCTGCCTTAGAGCCCCCTCTTCTGAGGACCGTTTCTCGGATTCAGCGGCTGTAGGACGCTGAAACTCGGACGCCTGGAATTCCGGCTCCGATTCAGATGGGCGAGTTGCCGGCTTGTCACCTCGGAACATCCTCTTCATCCTTAAGTCTGTTCGTGGGATTAAGAAAAATGTGGTGAGCAAGTAGGCAATACATCAACAAACATAAATCATAGTCAAACGAAGAACAACAGCCCGAAATACAAGCCAAACCAATACAGAAAATTGATATCGTATTTAAACCCACCTAAATCCTCTTGAGTTAGGGGATGAGTGCTGTTGTCATGGAAGTAAAAATGACGAAGTATCGGCGGAAAACTTGTGAGATTCTCGGGCATACCATAGCTTGGTTGAAAGTGAACAATCATTTTCAGAAGCCACTCATCGACCGCTAGAGGTTTCCCCCTCTTTTTCTCGGGCAAGGTAGCGAACCAAGGACACAAATAAGGAGTGTCAGTGGGGTCCCTCGCGAAAAAATAATGGCCTTGCCACCCGTAGGTTTTATTGGGTGGCATCAATATCTTGAAGCCCGGACGAGCCGAGATGGAAACATGGTAGGGGCTGGAATTTTTTAATACCATAATACTTCGAAACCGGGCCGGAGTGGGGATTACACCCGACCAAGCACAGAGCATGCGAAACCCGGTCATAATGATTATGGCGTGAGGGTGAAACTGATTAAGGGATATGTTGCATATTTGAGCAATCTCGGAGAACCATGGCGAGATGGGGAAAGAAAGGCCGAAATAGAACTGCTCAGAAAACCAAGTGCTAAAACCGGGAGGGGGGTTTAGGGGGCGCTGATCTCGAGAAGGTAAGATCAGTTTGATGTCGGTGGGAAGACCTATGTCGCGAACTAAGTTAGCTAGGTCTATCTCGCTTAAAGTACTGGGCCCCCATTGATCGTCTTGATCTCGCCCCCCAGACAATGAAGGAGAGCCACTCCTCGCGGAAGACAGAACGTCGTCTCTCCCCCTTTTCTTAGATTTTTTCAGTAATTTACCCGAAGGGAAGAAGAAGGGCCCTTCCTCCGAAGAAGAAGAGAGGGTGAGGGTAGGATATTCGTCTCCCTCTCTGGAAGGCATTTTCTGACCAAAAGGGTCGGGGGAATTGGAAGACATAGGTTAAGGACAGTAAAAAGCAGGGTAAAAATGGAGTACCTTTGTCGAAGAAGAAAACGAGCACGGGATGGAAAGAACTCGATTCTCGGAAAAGCAAAGTCGCCGGAGGTAAACAAAGACAAGGAGAGCACAGAAGTGAAGAAGAGGAAAAAATTTCGAAAATTCGTAGAAGCCAGATACTTATAGGAGAAAGAAAGGAGGAGAATTTGATCGTGACCGTCTAATCGGACGGGCGAGATTCAAAGTAGATCGCCTCGAATCCGGCGCAAGAGGTGTCGATTGGAATCCCTCAGTAATGACCTAGGGAAGAGGGGAAATCAATCATAACCGTCTATTCGGGCGGATGGGATTTAATACAGGGCGTCTTGAATCCGGCGCATAAAGCACTGATTTGAAAGTTCCCCATGATGACTTAGGGAACTCGAATCGACCACACGGGATGTCAGAGTCATTAAATGGAAGAAAAAGTGAAAAGATCGTGTACATCGGACCGATATGAACCAAGGTCCAAACCCACACCTCGTACTCCGTACTTATAAAACGAGGTAAGGAAAAACCAACTCGTCTTATAATAAGGAGTAGGGGGGAGTAGTTGATACGGGCCATTATGACGAGATGAGCAAAATGCAACTTGAGAGAAGACAAG